TCTGCGGGGCGGGGGTGCGGGGGGCGAGGAGGCAGTGGCAGGAAGCAGGCAGGAGCTGCGGCTTGGGGTGGGACGGGGGCTTCTCTGCTGGGAGCTGTCATCTGGAAGCCATCAGCGGGCGGGAGGGATGGAGCCGCCTTCCTGGGGCCACACACGCTGGCCGGCCCCGCGGGGATGCAACCGGCTGGGTACTCGAGGGTCCCTACCATGCCCTGCCTTTCCCTCAGCTCCCCTCGTCCGTGCTGAGTGTCCAAGCTGGAGGGCTGCAGTGGGGCTGCCTGTCAAGTCGACGCACACCCTGGAGCTTTGGATACGTGGTTGGAGTACCCCATCCACCCACCTTTGCCGCTTGCCAGCACCGTGGCTATCGTCCCATCCGTGCTTGCTGTCCCCTGGGCAGCTTGGCATTGTCGTTGCTAAGCGAGAGGGACGTGGCAGGGGTGAGTTGGTGGCAAGGGTGCAGACCCCTCGTTCCTAACCTCCTGCCTCTCTTGCAGCTTGGCTAACATCCCGTTGACTCCGGAGACCCAGCGGGACCAGGAGCGGCGGATACGCAGGGAAATCGCCAACAGCAACGCGGATGCAGAGCATCAATGCTGGCTTCCAGTCTCTGAAAACCCTAATCCCACACACGGACGGGGAGAAGCTCAGTAAGGTGAGCAGGATGTCACCAGGGCAGTGCGGGATGCAGACGCTGATCCTGCACGCAGAGGTTTTTTGGTGGTGTTTGTCGAGCCAGATGGGGCTTGAGAGTAATTGGAGTTGTCTCTGTATGTTAGTTAAGTGATGGACATATCTCCTGCAGTGGTTTCCTCCGTGTGCATCGCAAAACCTGCTCTCCTGGAGTGGGCTGCGTGTGCACCCAGCACCCTGGGAGCAGGTGGAGGGGAGTGGGGCGAGGAGGCAGCACTCAGCAGCCAGTCGGGTTCCTGAGATGGGCGAACCAGAGGTTCACTGTGCTGGAGATTCCAGGGGAGACCTGGGAGTGGAGCAGACCCTGGGTGGAGATGCTCGGGCTGGGTGGGGAGGGAGCTTGGCAGAAGGGGGTCTTGGGGACACACACTGGGGTCTGTCTTGTGTCAGCGTGGCTTTCCCACAGGCGGCCATCCTCCAGCAGACAGCCGAGTACATCTTCTCACTGGAGCAGGAGAAGACCCGGCTACTGCAGCAGAACACCCAGCTCAAGCGGTTCATCCAGGTATTGCCCTCCGGCATGTCCCAGGGACTGGATGGGAGGGGAGGGGACAGCCCCAGCTGGCTGGGCAAAGAATATCGCCTCTGTTCCTTGGGCTCAGGCTGAGACCCTCTGCCCTAACGAGCTGTGGGGCTCCGTTTTCCATTTGGGATATCAGGGTATGATGACCCAGCTCTGAGGTGGCCCTGTTGAAATTGTCCTGGGCAAGAAGCAGGTTTGCACAAGGCTGGTAGGGTGAGGACCAGGCTGGTGGGCACGGACAAGGCGTAGGAGCCCCTCTGTCCCCAGACTTCGACCCCCGTACTCTGCCCACATCCCTGGGGAGCCCCTTCCCTGCAGGGAGCTGTGTTGGTGGGTGGCATCACCCACATGTGGTCCAGATGGTGAGGATAACATCAGGGCTGGTCCCTTGTCCCCTGACACCATGTCCCCGTGGCAGGAGTTCAGCGGCTCCTCCCCAAAACGGCGACGGGCGGAGGATAAAGATGAGGGGATCGGCTCGCCGGACATCTGGGAGGACGAGAAGGCCGAGGATCTGCGGCGGGAGATGATCGAGCTCCGTCA